GGCATCACAGCTCACAGCAACCTCCAACTCCTGGGCTCAAGCATTCTCCTGCCTCTGCCTCCCAAGTAGCTGGGACCACAGCTGCCCGCCACAAAGCCTGGCAATTTTTTGGTTGCAGCCATTATTGTTGTTTGGTGGGCCCGGGCTGGATTTGAACCCGCCAGCTCAGGTGTATGTGGCTGGCGCCTTAGCTGTTTGAGCCACAGGGGCCAAGCCAGCATCATTTCTTTTGAAATAATGATATTTACTATATAATCTCAAAGAAAAATGGCAGAGCTTTAAGTATTTGCTTAAAAGGACAAATACTTTGAAAATTAATGCTTTTGCAGGTCACAGCCATTCAGGGCACAATGTAGTGGCCCTGAGCTTCACAGCCTTAATTTATTTGGGTGTTAGATTCACAGAGCTTCTCTGTCCGCCTGGGAAATTACTCAGTGTGGATAAACAGGGGTAGCTCATGGGTTTTGGCTTTTGTTCTTAAGTGTTTTTGTGGTCATTAGAAAATAATTTTTCACATATTTACTGTTAATAAAAATATCCCAACAAAATGAAGTGGCCTGGGCTGGGCACCATGCCTCATGCCTATAATCCTAGCACTTTGGGAGGTTGAGGAGGGTGGATTGCCTGAGCTCATGGGTTCGAGACCAGCCTGAGCCAGAGCAAGACCTTGTCTCTAAAAATAGCCAGGCGTTGTGGCAGGCACCTGTAGTCTCAGCTACTCAAGAGGCTGAGCTAAGAGGATCTCTCGAGCCCAGGAGCTTGAAGTTGCTGTGAGCTGTGATACCACAGCACCTACTGAGGGTGACAAAGTGAGACTCTGTTTCAAGAAAAAGAAAACGAAGGCTTGCGCCTGTAGTTCAGCAGCGAGGGCACCGGCCACATACACCAGAGCTGGTGGGTTCAAATCCAGCCCAGGCCTGCCAAACAACAATGACAATTACAATCCCCCCCCAAAAAAAGCCAGGCGTTGTGGCCCGCACCTGTAGTCCCAGCTACTTGGGAGGCTGAGGCAAGAGAATCGCTGAAGCCCAAGAGTTTGAGGTTGCTGTGAGCTGTGACAAGGTACTATGTACCTAGGGCAACATAGTAAGACCCTGTCTCCAAAAAAAAAAAAAAAAAAAAAAAAAGAAGTGATCCTGCACGCCCTGCAGCCTTGTCTCACCCCAACCTACCCTCTCTCTCGTGTTCTTATCTCAGCCCTCGGCCTGTCCTCTGTGTAGCCTCCTCAGAGTGCAAGCCTCCTCTGAAGCCTCTAGGTTAGCGCTGGACCCTGAAGTCTGCCCAGCTCTGGGAGTGGCCTCTGGTCCCTCCCTCCTCCCCCGCATCTCCCCTTTGCTGTGCAGCACAGGGTGTGGAGTGGGCCCTCCTCACAGCAGAGCTTCAGCTGCAGCCCCTGCCACCAACCTGAGTGAAGGGGAAGTGCCAGCATGACATTCCCAGGTAGAGCAGACTTCCAGGAGTTTGTGTGCCACTTTGGTACTGACACTCAGAGCTTTGGGTGTTTCATACTTGATTTGGGAAGAGGCGTGGTGGTGAGTGCTGTGGGGATCTCTGGCCCGGCTCACACGGCCGCCTGTCCTACCGGTTGCAGTGAAGCGCTACGTCCGCAAAGGGGTCCCGCTGGAACACCGTGCCCGAGTGTGGATGGCACTGAGTGGGGCCCAGGCCCAGATGGACCAGAACCCTGGCTACTACCACCGGCTCCTCCAGGAAGAGAGAGACCCCAGCCTGGACAACGCCATCAGGACAGGTGAGGCGCGTCCTCCTCTGGAACAGAGCCCCACCCAGCTCTCAGCTGCAGTGTTGAGGAAGCAACTCATGTCCTTAGTGAGGCCTCAGTTGTTTAATTTGAAACCATATTTTCCTCAAAGGGTTCAACACTGAAGGGTTCACAAGGGAAGAAAAAGATTTTTAATTCACTCAGCAAATTTGAGTGCCTGCTGGCTGATTAGGAAAACAGGGCAAGGGTCAGCACCTGTGGCTGAAGCGGCTAAGGCACAGCCACATACACCTGAGCTGGCAAGTTCGAATCCAGCTGGGCCCACCAAACAACACTGATGGCTGCAACCAAAAGAAAAAAAAAAATTGCCACGCGTTGTGGTGAACACCTGTAGTCCCAGCTGCTTGGGAGGCAGAGGCAAGAGAATCGCTTGAGCCCAGGATTTGGAGGTTGCCATGAGCTGTGATGCCACGGCACTCTACCCAGGGAGATAGCTTAAGGCTCTGTCTCAAGAAAAAAAAAAAAGGAAAACTGGGCAAACAGGTGACTTAGGCCCACGGTCCCAGCACTTTGGAGGCTGAGGTGGGAGGATTATTAAGGCCAGGAGGTGGAGGCCGGCCTGGGCAACACAACAAGACCCCGTCTCTATAAAAAGTTTAAAAGACGGCAGCGGCTCGGCGCCTATAGCTCAACCGGCTAAGGCGCCAGCCATGTACACCTAAGGTGGCGGGTTCGAATCCCCAGCCTGGACCCGCCAAACAACAATGACGGCTGCAACCAAAAAATAGCCGGGCGTTGTGGCGGGCGCCTGTGGTCCCAGCTGCTTGGGAGGCGGAGGCAGGAGACTCGCTTGAGCCCAGGAGTTGGAGGTTGCTGTGAGCTTTAATGCCACGGCACTCCGCCCAGGGGGACAGCTTGAGGCTCTGTCTCAAAAAAAAAAAAAAAAAAGACGGCAGCGCCTGTGGCTCAGTGGGTAGGGCACCAACCCCATATACTGAGGGTGGTGGGTTTCAAACCCGGTCCCAGCTAAACTGCAACAAAAAAATAGCCGGGCATTGTGGCAGGTGCCTGTAGTCTCAACTTGGGAGGCAGAAGCAGGAGAATCGCTTGAGACCAAGAGTTGGAAGTTGCTGTGAGCTGTGATGCCATAGCATTCTACCTAGGGCAATTGCTTGAGGCTCTGTCTCAATAAATAAATAAAACTCTGTCCCCATTAAACAACAATCCCTTGTCCCCTGGCAACCCTGTTCCACTTTCTGTCTCTGTGGCTTTGACCCTTCCAAGGGCCTCCTGGAGGGAGAATCTCAGAGCCTTTGTCTTCTTGTGACCGGCTTACTTCACTCAGTATGATGTCCTCAAGGTCCATCTGTGTGGTAGCCTGTCAGGCTCCTCCATGGTGAGGCAGAGTTATGTTCCACATGTGTCTGGACCACGTTTTGTTTATCCGTCACTTTATCAGTGGATATGTGGGTTCTCCCACCCAGCTGTCAGGGGCACTGGTGCTGTGCACACTGGGCCCGGTCAGTTCCTCAGGGCGTACCCGAGGTGGGACCACGGTCACGTGGTCACGCTGTGGTTGTTTTTAAGGATCTGCACAAATCCTTCTATAGGGACTGTATGGGGGATGTTTCATGGCCAGAGAGCCAGCTTTGTGTACATGAATATAGCTGGGAGCTCATCCCTGCCTGCAGCCCCTCTCTTCCCCAAGAACAGTGTCTTCAAACACAGTAACCAATATCACACAGGAGTGGACACAACTGGTCTCTCTAGTCTGAAATAGCAAAAACACTCACTTTCCCTCAACTGACTCCCTTTCTTGGAAAGTTTAGAATCATAAGGGCGAAGTTTTTTCTGTAAAACACTCAGTGAGGAATGACGTACTCAGAGATACTGAGCTTAGCTTACCTCCCAGCTCTCGCTTTTTTGTTTTTTGAGATAGAATCTCAAGCTGTCACCCTGGGTAGAGTGGCATGGCAACATCATAGCTCACAGCAACCTCCAACTCTCGGGCTCAAGCCATCCTCTTGCCTCAGTTTTTTGTATTTTTAGTTGAGACAGGACCTTCCTCTGGCAGAAGGCTAGTCTTGAACCTGTGGCTCAGGAATCCACCTGCCTTGGCCTCCCAGAGTCCTAGGATTACAGGCATGAGCCACCACACCTGGCCTAGATCTCCCTTTTTATAAGCAGAGATTCGGCTTCAGGCAGGAGGCTGGGAACAGAATTGCTGTAGAGAGATGGGTGCCAGGAGGTTGGGCCTGGCAGGAACGAGGGCAGCGTGGTCTTACCTTAGAGCATCACCAGAAGGCTGGGGGGTCTCATGAGTCCTGCCTTGGTACATGCGTGACAAGTTTGGTCACACATAGCACAGTGGCAGACACATCTGTCAGACGGCTGGTTAGTCAGAGAGTGGTGCACATGTGTAGGTGGCTGCACATCCCTGTTCTGCCTTCCTGCGGGTTGTGGGGAAGGTTGGCCACAGCAGGCCATGGTGCCAGGTTGGTGTAGTGCTCAGTGAGCCTGTGGTCCACACACGCCTGGGTCTCCCTGGCACAGAACGGCTTGGCCGGGACTTGGTCTGGCTAAGAGGTTCGGGGGAAGGATGGCTGCAGCAGCAGGGGGCCGCCAAAGATGTGGGTGTCTGATGGGCAGAAGGGACTGCACACAGTGGTCGGCAGTGCGGGGTCTGGTCAGCTCCTAGTGGTCAGTCAGACTGTCTCTGAAAAGGAGTCTCAGTATGTTCCACACCCTTTGTGTTTGATCCTCAGAACTATGAGGCTCTCCCAGGGTCCTGGCACAGCCTCCACTTGTCCACCCTGGTGCTCTAGTCTGACTCGTCCTTATCCCAGATAAGTCCATGCCACTGTCCCTGACTGTGAGGGGACACTCTGGCCACCTCTTCCCCAGAATCTAGAGGATGTCCCTCCTGCCTGGTGTAGGGAGCGTGTCCTGCATGAGAAGCCTATCCACACAACCTGTGTCCAAACCAGTTCTTAATCCTAGACAGAACCCCATGTGCCACTGGGCAGCTGTGAAAGGAGTCTGAGGTATCACAGCGCAGCCACCTTCAAGTAACTCTTGCTTGTGAATTGCCATGCAGATCTGAATCGGACCTTCCCAGACAACGTGAACTTCCGGAAGACCGCAAACCCCTGTTTACAGAAGGCCCTGTATAATGTGCTGTCAGCTTATGGGCAGCACAACGAAGGTGTGGGGTACTGCCAGGTGAGCCCCGGGACCTCTCGGGTTGGCGTGGTGTTCAGGAAGGAGGAGGAAGTGCACACTGGTGAGCTGGCAGCAGGGACACCCCAGGGTCCGGGCTGAGTCTGCCCGTCAGTCACCCCATGAGCCTCTAAGTCACAGGGCCTCACAGAAGGCTCCTTCTCTGCTGCCAGATGGACAGAAGGGACATCTGCTTGATGACTTCTTTCTGGTATCAGGTAGAAGACAGGATGAGGGTTGGAAGTTGGGAAGCAGGGAAGGATTGGATTAGGTGAACACAGGACACCTGGGTCCTTGCAGATGGCGTGCGGGGCGCACGTAGGCAGGTGTGTGCTGGGAGGTACCTTCCTCAGAGGTTGTCTCTGGAAGTCCCTCCTTCCTGACTCCAGGATGTGTGCCTGGCAAGTGTGGTTGGGAAGAACTGTTTCTCCATCCTCTATGACGCTGTCTCAGCCTGGGCACGCATCTAGGGGATGCTTTCACTCATAACTGGGTCTGCAAGAGGAGCCCAACGTAAGAATGGCCAGCAGCTATGCCATTTGCCTCTCCTGTGTATGCGCATGTGAGGCTGTGTGTGATGCCCAAACCTGCCTGCATGGAGCTGTGGTGCGGTCTCCTGAGTTCACAGGGGAGCAGCGTGGACAGCCTGCAGGGCCACAGCACCCCCCCACCCCAGCACAGCAGGCAGCAGGTTTCCAGAGCACACATGGAGTGTGATTGCCTGTGACCATGTGTAACTGTGTGAGCATCAGATGCTATCCCATCCTCGCGCTGGGCTCTATGAGCCCACATCTGGGTTAAAGGCATCCCAGTAGGACAGGAAGGGGATTCAAGTGCCTAGCTCTGAAAGCAGAGGGACAGTAAAAGCCAGCAATGAGGCAGCTCATTTGCTAAGCCTGGTTTGAACAAACTCTGTGCCAAGTGCATCTTGTTTTGGCAGCTTTAGTTCTCTCCTGGAAGGCCCTGGGCATGATGGCATGGGGGCAGTGAGGAAGACAGCCCTTGGGAAACACCCGTGGCAGGGACACCTGCAGTGCACTAGCTGCTCACTGGGAAACTCATCAGGCTGCACCAGCACCCTGCCCCACTGCACACAGGTGGTGCTTGCAGAGACATGGGGCGGGGCGCAGCCCTTCCCAGACTAACTTCCTGTCATTCTCAGCCTCTCCTGCTGTCGTTAAACTCACTGTCCTGGAGCGAGAACTTGGCCTTTAGGAGCTGAGGCAAAATGGCTAAGAAATTGTCCTTAGATCATTTACTATTCTTTTGGGTTTTAAAAAATAGCTTTATTTAAAAAGCACACACATATAACATAGTGGGGTGTTGTGGCGGGTGCCTGTAGTCCCAGGTACTTGGGAAGCTGAGGCAAGAGAATCACTTAAGCCCAAAAGTTTGAGGTTGCTGTGAGCTGTGATGCTATGGCACTGTACCGAGGGTGACAAAGGAAGACTCTGTCTCAAAAAATAAAAGCACGCACATAGCTGGCACAGTGGTATACACCTGCTGTCCAATGACTCAGGAGGCCAACACAGCAGGGTGCTACGGCCCAAAATTGCTTCAAGGCCAGCCTGGGTAACATAGTGAGACTGCCATCTGTAGACACACACACAATTTTATAGATCACCATGGGACCAGAGCTCTGCTGACTTTCAGATCATACACGTAGACACAGTGGACGTACATGCTGTGTGTTTGCCATGGGAGTTGCGACAAAGGGCCACAGGTGGGGCTGGAGCTGCAGAGTGTTATTCTCTCAGAGCTGAGACCCAGGTGGTCAGGGCCAGCTGCCTCAGGGTTGGGGGATCTGTTCTGGCCTCTCCATCCTGGGAGGCCACACAGTATGGGCATGCAGTGTCGTCACTCTGACTGTGACCTCCATCCTTGTGGGCCTCCTTGTTCCACTCTGCCTAAGGATACTAGGCCTGCTGGCCAGGGCCCACCTGCTCCACCGGGCCCTCGGGTGGAATTGCATCTGCATCCATCTTTTTCCCAAGTGAGGTCACATTCTCTCTTCATCATGAGAATTGCGGAGGGGGGTGACACAGTTCAACCCATAACGTATGTGGGGAGTCAGAAGTGCACAGGCCCCGGGTTTGCTTGTTGCTATCTACAGGGCAGCGTAATCCATGCAGATGTTGTGTTCTCCCAGGGTCTGATCTGATGCAAAACAAAGATCTTGCCAGTCCAGTGGTCACATCCTTACAGGCAGCCTCTGCTGTCATCATGGATGAGAGAGGCTATGTGTGCCTTGGCTCTTGGTGACTGTCCCCACATCCGCATGCAGACCCAAGTGGTCACAGTGCTGCCAGCAAAGTGCTCTCAGCAGCCCACCCATCTACATTTTGTATGATGTTAATTTATCAAATTGGTTGGCAAAGGCTGAATTTTTTTTCCTTATTACTAGAAAAATGCATATTTATTTTAGAAAATACAAGGCAGCGCCTATAGCAAGGAGTAGGGTGCCGGCCCCATATGCCAGAGGTGGTGGGTTCAAACCCAGCTCTAGCCAAAAAAAAAAAAAAGAAAGAAAAGAAAATATAGATAAGCAGGTGGGGCATGGTAGCTCATTCCCATATCTTAGCACTCTAGGAGGCCAAGGCAGGTAGATTGCCTGAGCTCACAGGATCAAGACCAGCCTAAGTAAGAGCAAGACCCCGTCTCTAAAAATAGTTGGGCATTGTGGCAGGCACCTGTACTCTCAGCTACTGGGGAGGCTGAGGCAAGAGTATCACTTGAGCCTAAGAGTTTGAGGTTGCTGTGAACTATGAAGCCACGGCATTCTACCAAGGTCGACCAAGACTGTCTCAAAAAAAAAAAAAAAGAAAGAAAGAAAGAAAATACAGAAGAGCAAAAAAGAAAATGGAAGTCTTATGAGCCCAGTCTCCCAGAACAGATGTTGACTCGTGGCTGGGAAGCCTGGGTCTGGCACTGCCCTTTCTGGGACGGTCACACATGTGGCATCTGCTGGCAGTATGGCTCTGGGTAGGCACATGTGCATCTCCCAGAGTTCCCAGCAAAGAACTCTCTCAGTGCACTGCAAAAGTCAGACCTGCTCCTGACGGTTTTTACAAACTGGCCCTTGTTATAGTTCCCCTTTGGTGCTGAGAGTCGTGTTATTAGTATACATTAAAGTTTTTAGAAACCAATGGTAAGCGATACCACTTTATCACAAGGTTTCCATTGATTTTAGCATCCTAAGGTAGTATTCAGAAGGGTTTCGTTTAACTCCTTCCTTTGTTTTTTTTGCCACAGTTATAATTAAACACATTACTGCATGGTGGATGCTCAGTCTCTCTAAAGTCCTGATAGCTTATTCTAGAATTACAAGTTTTTAGGGGAGAGCAATAGCATGGAAGCCAGTAGCTGGTGACTGTCAAACTGCACAGTGCTATAAACTGTTTCTGTTTTCTAATTTCAGGGAATGAACTTTATAGTGGGATATCTGATTCTCATAACAAAGAATGAGGAAGAGTCTTTCTGGCTGTTGGATGCTCTTGTGGGGAGGATACTGCCTGGTATGTGGGATGTTTCTACTCTAAGGCTGAACTGTCCTGAATCTGGTGTTACCAAAGTGGTTTGCTGATAACTCAAGTTTACTTAAGATACAATTAAATTGTGAGCTAAAGATAAAGTAAATAGGCTCGGCGCCTGTGGCTCAACCAGCTAAGGCGCCAGCCATGTACACCCAAAGTGGCAGGTTCGAATCCAGCCCGGGCCCACCAAACAACAATGATGGCTGCAACCAAAAAATAGCCGGGCGTT